GGACATAGGTGAGACAATGATTCTTAATTAGCACTCGAGCGCGTTCTTATCGCGATGCTCGTCTTTCGTCAGGCAGGAGACGCGCGCGAGCGTTCGTTTCAAGGTTTCCCGACGTTCGCGCCGATTTACGAAGCAGTTACGGTCGAGTCACGTCTTATCGGAGTGGAATACGCAATACCTCGGTCGGTCGATTGTTCAGGAGAGCTTGGAAAATAACGGACTGATTAAGGAAAGACGGCTTTTGCATTTATCTTGGCCTTGCGAACTGTTGAAAATGTTTAGAAGCTATATTGTCTAACTCTAAATCGCCAGTAAAAGCGGGACCTTTTAATAAGCAGTGCCATTAGTCATTAGTCTGGGATCATTTTCCGACTCTTGCAAAAATGGAAAATTCGTTAGGGTTGGCGTACAACTGACGTGTTTATTGTCACAAATCATAGAGGTGCATTTATTTACCCGGATATTTCCGCACGTTTTGTTTGGTGAAAGTTATACGCGACATCGGACCTGTTGCAAGGTCGAGTCAACCAGCCAGCGGACGTATATCTTGCTAGTTTCAGTGCATCCGCACTTTTGCTCGCGATACGAGAATGCGGCGGTGTGAAATTGCAAAAGCGCGCTATAAAGAAATACAATAAATGCATGATATATATTAACAAAGCCGTGCTGAAACATAACAAAATGTCGGGATAAGATAAAAGAAATTAATACGGGACGCAAATTAAATAATATTTTCATCAAATCATGAATTTTTTGATCAGTTCGAAGACGGTTCTCTCTCGACAATAAATTATTTGAATGACAATAGAGTTTTCGAGCAAAATCTATCGTTGACGGCGTCATGATGCGCCATCGTTGGCAGAGACATCGTCGCGCCGCGCCGCGCTGCACCGAGGCTAAAGACCCCGACACACCTGTACGCGAGAGAGCTTAGACGACAAATGTGAATGCCAGATACGAGGACAGATCGTCGAGAGTACAGGGCGAACGTATCGAAAGTTCAAGGCGACGTGAGCAACGCGCGTTGCGTGAAATTTGCTCGGCGTATGGAGAAACGGACAAAAACATTCTACCTCTCTGGCTGTGAACGCTACATTTTATGTATTTGTTTGCGACATTTAGACATAAATTCGAGACGGAAAAAGACGTATACATATCTCGTTATATTTATATTTCTAATAAAGTTAAAATAATGAAAGAATTTTAAATAAATTTAGTTTAATAATAATTTGTCTTAAAAAAAGTATAAAGTTCAATTTATTTATTTCAATAAAATTGGGATATATAATAAACTCGATATGTTGAAAATATATTGTTTATTAAAATCTATAATGAACAGTTCTGAAAAATTGGATGTTGATTGTTAACATAGGATAATACAGGAATGTCGCGGATATATATCGCGATTGTGAGAAATGCTTTTATTATAACACTAATCAAGCGAGCACTTAACTCGACGATCTCCACGTGCAGCTCGTTTATTATCATCCTCCCATAAGGATCCCATTAACTAAAAGCGTGAAGTTCCAACACGCGTTACTCATTTTCGTAAACGTAAGGCGCCGCGACATTAGCGATTTCACGTGCAGATAAACGGGAAATAGTTATCCGGGAATGTGAATCTGGATGGGGTCGAGAGGGAGTCTGGTTTTATCACTAAATTTTACGTACCGCTAGTGCTTCCGTAGAGTAGCATCGTAAATATCGCGTGTGACATCTTAATCGCATCGCGTATGTTGTTCCGTTAATCCTAATCTTAGCAATGTATTCTACGAGATGAATCTCGCCAACTTGTAATTTGCAGTTAAAATACGTTTTTAAGTGCACGAGATTTGTATATTACCATATGAGCATCTTATTATAAAGCTTACTTTACTTGCAAAACAATTTTTCATAAATTATTTTTTAAAAATTAGCTTGAGATTTTAAATATCAATTTTAAATTAAAAAAAAAATTTTTTTTAATATAAAAGAGAATAAATATTCCTCATTTTTCCTAAGGAATTGCTTTATTTTCGATTCTTTGGGATTTCTCTTAATTTTGCACAATTTTCTTATAGTATTCGTTTAAGAAAGGAGCAATCGTTTAAGAAAGGAGCATAAATTAAATTTGTGAAGTACAAGCGATATATATATATATATATATATATGTATATATTACATGTATAATTACATATTGGCACAAATTGAAATGATATTTCAACTAACGTATCTTGCAAGACTTATCTTATGTCGCCTTCAAAGTAAACGTTTGATTAATCTATTGTGTTATCGTTGAAGATTAAATTGTCCGAAACTAATTAATGTCAATACAATTCGTATTGATAATTCGTAGTCGATATAAGTAATCTGTCTTTGCGAAGCATCGTCAACTCTGACTGCACTTTTCTATCCGCGCGTAAACTGCTTGTACTTTTATTTAACTCGTTTTTTTTCAGCATTGCGCAAACAAAAATCCAAATGCAAAACATTCGAAACTGCAATTAAGACTCACTCGGGAGCAACTTTTAATTGACTATTTATTGAAACCTTTCCGAAAGCGATCGCTCATAGAACTGACCTATTGTAAGCTTAAATCCCTATGTATAATCCGAGGATCTGTGCATTGTGAGATCTCTTGTGATGAGGGATTGTGAATTTTACGAGGATTTAAACCAGGGACTGCCCAATAACAACGAAGAACGTCCCAAACAATCTGATACCCGACCTTTCGTCGGCCGATTCGTGCAAAAATTCTGGGGTCAACGACAGCGAAGTTGTATCGTTAGAGCATTAGGAGTTTTGGGTCTTTGGACCGCGGTGGATCGTAGTGACCGTTTCTCACAAAAAGGGCGAAGAGGGTGAGATCGCGGACATTTTAGCGGTAAAGGGAGAAAAGAGGGAAGACGGTAGGGTGCAAGGATTCTGCGAGAGCCGGCGGGAACCGGCGAAAGAGAGCAGAGAGCAGCGGTGAGCGTTCATACGAGAGTGTCTATTTACGAGTTGTCCGGCGCCGTGATGTCCGGAGTAAAAATACACCGCGTAGAGTGTAGAGTTCGTGTGCTGTGTGCTCGCGCGCACACCACACCACGGAAGCCTCTTGTAATTCTCCAACGCGCTAGCGCTCTCGGCTCTCTCGGTCGCTCAACGCCCCTCCCTACCTCCCCCCGCCGGCGCTCTCATCCCCTCCACGGTGCTTCTAGCGGCCCGTAACAAGCGTGGGGGGGCGGCGCGGCGCAATTCCGCTCCTCTTATTGGACAGCGGCCAAACGTCTCTAACCGAGAGCGGCGGAAAGCGACAGAGAACCATGCTCATAGAAGCACGGTCAGGGTGCGAGGCGTAATTGCGCCGTCGTTGTACAGGGTGTTCAGCTTTTCGCTGTTTTTAATTTCGGGAGTAATATCGCCCCAGGTATTATGAACGGGACGTTATGTTTTATATTGAATAGCACGAGGAAGGGAAGAGAGAGAGGATAAAGGGTACGCGGTTCTTTCATAAAATAAAATATATTTTTATAAAAAGAAATTAGGATATGAATACTCTATGAGAGAGAGAGAGAGATTAGACAGTGATTATAATGAATGAACTATTCGCTATAAGAGCTTCGATGGTTTTGTTTGAAAAATTGATTCCAATTTCAGTCTTATTTATCCTAAAAATAACGCTATAAGCTTGTAAGTATGTACCATCGAAATAGCTTCGATCTGATTAACAAATCGACCCGAACGAGTGTGTTGGGCCGTGGTGTTTACAAACGCGTGCCCGTTGCAAGGCAGGTACGTGTCACGCCAGGTACGTCTGTGGCACTGTGATCCGGCGTGTAGGTGCAGAAATATAATCGCGCAATGACGTCACATGCGCGTGCTGTGCAAAACAGACTTCCTCCAGTTCCTTTGCCGTCGTCCGGACTATGGCGCGGCGAAATCCGCCGTTGCGGCGACGAGTGCTTTATAAGTCATGTTCGTTCACGTTCACCTAATCTCGAAACCCGATAGAGTAAGAAAAGAAAAACAGTTTTATTTGAACACAAAATATGACAAAAAATTATGAAATCAGAATACAAGACTTATTTGATTAAGAATTGAATGATAAGTTATCAATAAACGGTCTGGAAGCAAAGTCGCATTCGAGGCTGCTATAGGATATACCTGCTGATTAAAAGATACGGGAGATATTGCTTGAATAATTATTAATAAACCGCTTCCATTTCAAATAATGCAATATTTATTCCTAACAGACGTATTCTGCGTTTTCGTACAAATGAAAAAGAATTATTCCTCTCAATAAGGATGGTGGGACTGTTTGCTGTTTGATATTCGCAAATCTACTCAACTCTGCGATGAAGCACGTAAAAAGACTAATCTGGAATCTCCTCATTTTCAATCAATTCGAACTGTATACGACGCAGTTTGTAGACAATCTGGGAATTATCGCGGGCGTTTTCCGTACAATAAAAGATCGGTATATAAGATTAAAAGATCGCCTTTATTTCGGGCGTTAAAACCTACGCTCTAGCCCACGTCGTCTCGCTGCTTCGCCTCGGTCTTTTGAATGGGAGTATTTTTAGCACGCGCCTACTATATGTGGATAACTGTACGTGCCGCGCCGCGTATTCAGTTTCCGCGGATCGAGCAGGCTTGAGCGAGCATTAAAGTGTTCGATGTGACATCGAACGGAAGCCAAATTTCGCACGATCGCATCCTGACGGAGGCACAATTCGTCGGATAAATATATTTTCACCTGGACCGATCGTTTATCTCGCATCACCGTTAGTTTTATATCGTTAGTTTTGTGGAGAAAAGAATCATGCAAGAAGAATTTCGAATGGGTCCTTCGGATAAATTATGTATTCTACATGATGATTTTTTTCATAGCAGAATTGAAGAAGACTATATCTATATCACAGATTGTACATATTAGAGATATGTATTATACACAGATACATATATGTATTCAATATTGTATAATGACGAAGCTTAATCTTTATACCATCTTTTCGGATTCCATGTTTCAATCAATATAGATACAACCTTATATGGAAAAAGATACTGTAGTTGTGAAAGAAAGCAAACAAAATGTAATATTTACTTATAGTTTTGTGTACTTCTTTTATTTGGCAACTGCAGTAGTCTTTTTTACAGTAGTATTTTTCCGTAAAGGAAAACTTATCAAGTTAGTAATAATACATACATACTTTCATATTTGTTTAGGATTTATTTACTTAGAATTTTTCACATTTATTTATTCGTTTGTTTAATGTCCTATGGCGATGAAATGCATTAAAGAGTACCTAAGCAAAGAACTGATCAAAGGTTGTGGAATCGAATTCTATACAAATAGATCTATTTAAAGTCGTAATCTCATTCGAAATCTAAATTCTTGTTGCTATTCGAGATTCAGAGATTGAAAATCTTGATCTTTCCATAAATCTCTTTTAAAGTTTCACCTATCCTTTTACTATCCTGCTGACATCGGACTTTTTTTCCAGCCACCTGACACGCACCACGACATGGGAGGATCCGCGGAAAACGGCCGCAGCCGCGAGTGTGGCCGCGGTAGCCGCGGCAGTCGAGAGCAGCAAATCCAACCCGCTCGGTCCACTGCCCGATGGATGGGAACAGGCGCGTACAGCCGAGGGCGAGATCTATTTCATCAATCATCAGACTCGTACCACCTCCTGGTTCGATCCGCGAATCCGTAAGTATTGAATTGAATTCCTGCTTCCCTTATAAGTGCTGCCCAGAGTGAACGAGACATAGAATGGAGCTCTTCGAATCTAAATATTTATCCAAAAATTAAAAAATCCCTCACTGTTCAATCATCAAACCGGATCGGTACGATTCAAATCTTTCTGCTGCTTTGCATCTCTCAAATTTTCGTTATTACGTAATATTGGGATTGCCTGCATCCTTTCGGCTTTCGTGCGGAGACTAGGAATTTAATTATTCCTCTAGTTTATTTCTGGTTTATGAGTATTCAGATTTAAATGTAATTAAATTATGAATACGTAACGTTCCAGAGTTTCCGAATAAAAATCGAAAAAATGGTGTCTCTAGATACTATTAAAGCTCGACAGTTTTACGAGACTTTTGGCAAAGGTTGAAAGATTTGTTTCACTTGGTGAGAAACCTTTTTCGACTAACCACAGTGTGAATTACTTTTATCAACACTTCTCGATCGTTAACTAATGTTCATTTCTTATCGAATAATCATATAAGCAATCGTTCCTTCAGCATCACATCTCCAAAGAACTCCAGCGTCTGGTGCGATGCTGCCACAGAACTGGCAACTGCAGCAACCTACCGGCGGCATCCAAAGTAATCAGAGTCTACAGGCAGCCTGCCAGCAAAAGATTCGTCTTCAGTCGTTACAGATGGAACGTGAACGCTTGAAACAGCGGCAGCAGGAAATCATGCGCCAGGTTAGCATCTTGACTCGTTCGCTCTTCGATCTAGAGACTTGATCGCGTGACATTTGTAATGCTAAATATTCACGCGTCTTTTCCATCGTTGCAGCAAGAGATGATGCGACAGAGCACCACGGACGTCGCCATGGATCCGTTTCTATCGGGTATTAACGAGCAACATGCGCGCCAGGAGAGTGCTGACAGTGGCCTAGGACTCGGTTCTGCATATTCCATACCTCAGGCCTCCGATGACTTCCTCAACATAGACGAAAACATGGACGGCACGAGTGGTAAGAGCGGCCCGTTCGAAAATCTCGATTTTTTCGGATTATCAAGCCTTTTTTTTTACGCAACATTTTCAAAATCCATCGCCACCATCACGCTTATGAGACTCTAGGCTAAAGAGAATGTTTTCGCTTGCTTTGCTGTGCCATTAAGTCACTTTTCGATTTATGAATAATTGTTTTGCGCAATTGTTCCGATTGCAGAAAGGCACTGTGCGTTGAATGATCTTACGAAACGATTATACCGAAGCCATAAATACATAAGTACGTATTTGTCACAATATCACATTTTGTTTAGTCATACTTTGAATTCGATGAATTCTTTTTCAGACGGGGGTGCGCCGATGGACACGCCGGATCTCTCGACCTTGAGTGATAATATCGATTCGACAGACGATCTCTTGCCGTCACTTCAGGTAGGTTCTCTGACATGTCGGTAATTGTTGCAAGCCTAGTTAAAACTTGTTGAATACGGTCTTTTGTATCCACAATTGTTACTGTTTCAGCTGAACGAGGAGTTCAGCACCGATATTTTGGACGACGTGCAGTCACTCATAAATCCTAACACAACCAAGCCGGAGAACGTGCTGACTTGGCTATAGGATTAGAAGTGATACTGCGGCGGATGTCGGCCTATTTAAAAGGATAGGTATTCAGGTTCTTGAAGTGGAAACTTTATCCAAATCTAGATATTAACCTGTGGTCAATTAATTGCAACATTGATCAGCGTCGTTTTTAATATTTTCAATTAATGATGCAATCTACTTTTTTATAATTCTGTACTGTGGGTTAGACTATACTAGACTATAAGGATAGGATTAAGTCTCTACTTCAAACCTAAACACCTATTTTTTTCTTTGTTTCTTTCTATTTGGATTTTTGCGAGGATGCATTACCACGACAACATGATAACAATTATCGTTGAAATATTTATTTTTTTATCTCAAACTTTTTATAAGGAGTGATATGATGAAATAAAGTTTATCAGGAGATAAACCCATTTTTGCTCGATATGTAATGATTTTATCATTAAGTTATCCTAGACCTTCTAAAACTCCAATAAATTTAAACGTGTGTTCATATGCGCATGTAAGTAGGTATAAACATGCCGTAGTAAATGTAAGTTTATATTTTGGAAGTTATTGGATAGCTTAATGGAAAATTCGCCTATCAAATGAAAGATTATTCTGATGCTTAGCTTACATGTTAGAAGAAATTTTGAATGGAAAACAAATATTTTCTTGTGATAGAAATAGTCAAATTACACATTCAATGTAACTTTGTAATATATCGTGGTACCGCATTTCTCTTGTGAAAATCCAAATAAAAGGATTTTTATATCTTATTATATGCCGTCTGAGGAAAGGAAAGAAAGAAGGAAGAAGTGAAAGACTATTTGCGAACTTGCTTTAAATGTCAATATCTCCAGTCTTTTATTTTCTCCTTTATTTCTTTCTTTGTTAAACAATATTATATTTTATATATGCAACGAAAATTTCTATTCCGTATTCATATTCGTTGGACTTTGACGATCGCGCCTTGTCAGATCATTGATTTTTGTTGCATATGATGGTATCAAGAGATCGTACAATATTTATGCTCCCAGTTTGTAATTGTATCTTCATGTGGTTTTTGCACGCAGAATGCGATTTAGTTGTAAAAGCTAATATAAAGAAATTATGGCCGGTATTCATAGTCAGATATTATATTTAAGCTCGTCTTAAGTCTGGTCAAAGACAGTCTTAAGACTCCATCCAACCCATCCAACCAATGACCATATTAGCATCTTAAGACATTACTTAAGACGATCTTAAAGATGCTATATGAGTACCGGTCTATGAATGGATTATAAAAAATTTCAAGTTTTCTAACGCGAACCGATTTGCTGCATGTTTTCGCGCGAGGGATATGGTGCTATTCTTATCTTGGGTGCATGTAATTGAAAATTGTTATTATTACAAATGTTATCAATTATAGTAAATTATTATTTGCTATAATTATTATTTGAAAATTATTTGCTATAATTGGCTCTTTAATTCTTGAGAGAGATACTAATACATTATAGTTTAAATTATAGATATGGTGGCAACCTGGGGTTTTAAATTGTGAATTCTGACCAAGTTCGTCATCGTATTACTATCTCGAAGATCATCGATCTTCGAAGTTGCGGAGCAATAGTAATGTTTACTGGACGAAGATCGAAGAGTTTTTAATACAGTAGATTCATAAATGTTTATCAATATTTCGAATATGACATACGGAATTGTACAATGTTCAATCAGCCTTTTAAGTCGCGGGATATATATATATACATATACATATCCCGATGATATGTATATGTATATATATATGTATACATATATGTATTGGCATACATATGTTGGAAACATATATATTGTCTGCGATCTTGTTTCTAGTATAATTTTTTACGAACGATATGCTTTAAAGCAGAGTGCCTTGTCTTTATAATCAATTAATGTGACAACTTTACTCATCGTTTTTTGCTGCATTAACCGTCCATATAAAACATTATGTGAAGTAGTTATTAAAAGTGAGCGACGTTTTAGATTGTCGGCTGAATATTTCTGCCGTGGATAAATGCAAAATGAGAATATATATATTTTTTTTATATGTAAAGTCTATACTCTTGTTACAAATTGCAATTATATTGATATTTTTCGAGAAATGCTGTTAGATTGTAAAATTCTCATATGCGTTTTATACTATCATACAATTATGTAACGAAGATTACCAGAGCGAGAACAATATCTGGTATTTATAGATTTATCTATATATTTTTTATCTATAAGGATTTTCGCCCTTCATGTCTCTAGCGAAGGGTACTGGAGTGGTGCGAAAGAAAAGAGGCCGCTAACATTGAACTTTTTCGTTATCGAGGATTAACTCACGGCCTATTTATTATCGGAAATCATAACGTTTCCGATAAAGAAGATAACGTGTGTATGCAATTAGAGGCAGCTGAGAATATATGGAAAGAAATTTACGCGACTATTTTCATCACTTAACAAGTGACAATATCCATCTTGATTGATACGTAATAAAAATAAATTACGTAAATAAAAAATTACGTAATTGAACAATATATAATTAAATTCATAAACAATGGAAAGTTACATGAAATGTGTTCATTGAATATGAATATTAGATTAATATTTTGTATTACCTTAATATAGGCGCGCTTGCTACGAGATCGAAATAGTTACGTAAATTTCTCACCTTTTTGTATATTAAGGACATCGACAATCTTATCGTGTAAAACTTTTTGTAATATTGGCTTTCCCGCTTTTCCCCGCCGCCGGGAAAAGCCTCGGAGAAACGAGAGAAATTTTCGTTATTCGCACGCTCCTGCGTTGATGTCTCTTTAATTCAACTGGTTGGCCGTGCGAATGTCGAATCTTCGACCACTTGATTTTTTTTTCTTTTCTTTTAAAATAGTAAAAAGTACGGGCGATCGTGTAAACGTTGATTTGACATTTGTGTCATTCACTGTATTTTTTTTTGGGCCGACACTCTGGAAGGCGGGACGTCGCACGTCGAGCACGGTGTGAGAACGTGATTTTTCTTATTTTACATGTATAAGTTCGATCATCCCACGATTGATTGTATTCGAGACATTTTTAATGCCATTTTTAACAGCCGGATTAAGGACGCGTTTTGAGTTTTATTCAGTTTTGAGTTTCTCCTTTTTATTCGCTTTATCCTATCTCAAAATTCCAATTTTATTCAGCTGCCTTTTAGTTTTGTTTTATTCGATTTCGCTGTGCCACATGAATTTACGGCGACGTCCCTTTCCCGATCGGCGTTACCGTCGAAATCGGTAGCGTTTCTCGGTGTCACGAGGTGTCGATCCGACAGTCTTCCAGGAACGTCATGCAAATCAAGCGCGTTTGATGTATTATTTTAATTACAATTTAACGATTAATATTTACCATATTGTATCTTGCTTTTAGTCTCAGTGTAGATTACGTTTTGGGGAGCATTGCGACACGGAAACTTACGTAAGTGCCTTCACGTTTTCGAGACGAAAACACAATAAGTTCCGCGATCCACGCTAATGCGTAGGATAGATTTTTAGATCGAGAACTCCCCGCTTAGGCTGCGCATTCGCCTCGATAATATCTGAGATTATACACAAAAGCAATTAGTTGTTTAATGTCAGTATTTAAATATGCTCATTGGCAATGTAATTTGTGAGATACATTTTTATATCGATAACAAGTGCCTTAGCAATAACGATAACAATAAATATTATTTACTTACGTATCTACATAGTAGTATTTGTTACCCTTTCATGTCCCATCCTCTTCGCTCCATTAGAATGTTACTGCTGATATACATAAAAATTGTTACGCGGGGTGTGTGATTACTATATAGTATATATAGGTACAATTGAGGACGATAAACTTTGTAAAAGAAAAAAATTAAAATATATGTAAAATTTAATTGATTGGTATTTGTGAGAAAAATGATGTCTATTCTGTCTGTCTCTATTTTAGTTCAACTTTTTGCATGAGTTTATTTTTTCTCTTTTTCTCTCCAACGTGAAAAAAAAAGAGGAAAGATGAACCAAGTTTAGCTAAAAAGAACAGAACACATATTATGAAACTTTTCGGAATGGATTCCGAGAATTAGCGCCGATATCACAGTCTCTGATGAACGTGATCCTCCGATTAAACTCACTCTGCATCTTTTTCTAACTGTCTCTCTAGATAGAGACGAAGAGTGGGTTTAATCGGAGGATCACTTTAATCGGACATTGTGATATCGGCCCTTATTCCGTCTTCCCTAAAAACACAATAGAAATCTAGGAAATAACTAAACAATTCCGACTGGAATTCATTCCGAAAAAGTTCTATACTACCTGTCCAGGCTTTTTAATGTTATGGTACTTTTATTAAAACTGATCATCCATTGTCACATTCGAGCATTCAAGAATCTTAACCCTTTGTCACTTTACGGATTCTTAACCCTTCGTGTTCCAGTGGTTTCACTATAAAACCACTATTTCATACTTTTACTAGTAGCTTTCCGGTTTTAAAACTAAACTGTTTTTAGTTTTTTGACTTGTCGAGCACTTTAGTGAGATATTTGGTGAGGTCTTTTTATTTTTTAACTTTTTAATTTTTATTTATAGATAATATTTTTTTTATTTGTATGTATAATAAATATATAAAAAAAACATTTTTTTATATTAAGTTTTAAAGGGTTAAAGTGCGCGCAAAAATATTGGCATGTCAAGCAGACATAATCTTATTGACAATGATTTTGATAAAAATAGTCTAGAGAAGCAGCTTAGAAATTGTAATAAAAGATCTCGATAGCGGGGTAATAACAGAAAATGATCGAGAATGAGGATTAGTACAATTGAAAACTATCTTTGTGATATTTTTCTCTGAAAGGAAGTGTTTACACACACACAGCGTTTGTCTTTATTTTTTAAGACGTTATCCTACTTTGACATTTAAAAAAAATCGAAAACTTTTTTTGCTTCAAAAAATAGTTTAAAGTTTTAAAATTAATGTGCACAAAAGGTGTCCTAAGTGGATATTTAAAATATTTTTCGAGTTCGGACTTGTGTACCTAAGGTGCATTCTGTGCGTTTCATGCATGGTGCACATGATGCATTATTTATTATACCTTGTTCCGTTGATCACTGAAGTTTAAGGTAGTCGGATTATCTCTTTTTGGAGTAGATTAGCCTTTGAGGATGATCGGCATTAAGGAGAAAGGGTCCATTATATGGAGCAGGTATATAGTTGATTAGTTGTAAGATGAAAAAAATTCATGATATATGTAACTAAAAAACAATTCAAATTTTAAATTTGCGTTTTTCTCGAAACTATATGCTTTTCCAAACGGTGATATCGCAAAAAATTGTGAAAAATATTCAAACATTTTTCCCCGTCAATTTGAAAAGAAATAAAATAAAGCTCGGTCAGGCGAAAGGTAGTAGAATATAATTAGTGAAAAAAATTGGTTTTTCTGTTTCGGGAAAACTAAAATGACCGGAATCGTGTACACCGTCCATCCGTGCACAGAAAAACACGATTTTATGTAATTTGTTATATCTTGCTCAAATATTAATATTTTTAAATAAAATTTTAAATTTTAGATAGCTTAAAATATGTGTTAATAAACTGTCAAACATGAAATAAATCGCATTTTTACTTCAACCTTATGTTAGTATAGAAATCACTTTTTGAAATCTTAAAGATAATACATGAATTTTTATAGATTTTTTGGTAATACAGAAATGCTTTCAAAAACCTTTTGAGATTAAAAAGTCCCAGGGTGTCCGCATGAATGCTCCAAAAACATGATGCTTGCGCAGTGTTAAAAAGCTTTCATTTTTCGGGCTGATCAAGGTAGGACAACTCTTTATTTGCTTATTCATCTTGGTATAGGTAATCCTTTAAGCTGAAAAATAAACTTTGAAGTGTAGCGTGAGAATGTGAAAGCAAGGAATACTTTCTCCGAAATTATGATTAAATACATTTTTTTTTATAGTAAAAACTTAACACTTGGTTATTTAGACTTATATTGTGTTTAGGATTGATGTGGCGACAGAAAAAAAAATAGTTCTCGCTGGAAATTTTTTGCTGATATACAAAAAATGCAGGAGAAACTCCTTTAAATTGGACTTTTTACATATATGTAATTATATAAAAAGGGATATTCGAGGATGTAGTAAACAAAATATTTTTTGCGTCAAAGGCCATTAATTTTAACTTATTTTTAGTTAACAATGTATTTAAAGAAACAACTCCGCACAATATTAAAACTCGTTTTGATAAATTCAATTTGTCCTATGTAACAAGATCGTGTTTGAAAAGTAACATAAAATACTAGCGGAAAAAAGTGGTTATAAGTGGGACAATAAAGATATTAAGCTATCGTTCTTCCATGATCATGTAAGTAATTGCACTTGTTCCTCGAAATTCGAGGTAGGGAGCTCTTTCAAACGAATTAAAGCCGATCAAAGAAAAAAATGGTACTTGACACTCTTCCCCTCCGCGAACAAGGCCGTACCTAATAGGATCGACACGAGAAAAAACTCCCCTTCCCTCGACAGGTTGATATCTATTATATGAGTGGCTGGTAATATGAGCGCATAAAAAAATTTAAACCCCTCTTCACATTCAACAGGTTGCATCCATTCGGGAAGGGGTCGGTATTCGAAGTTACCCTTCACTTTAAATCGTGTCCTGTGTGTGTGTATGGGTAATATACGACTTTGTTAATCGTTTCATCCGCCGTTTAACGTGGATCAGTAAGTTATTTCTCACTGTTTATATTATAATCAATGTTGTGGTGTAAAAGAAAAAATTATTAACAATTGATAAACTAATAAGGTATAATATAATAACAATAAAATAATATAATTATAATAGAAGATATAGTTGATATCAAAAGACATTTTATTATTTGTTTATTTTTCTTGTTTTTAATTAGATTTAAGTTTGTGATCATAAAGATTTAACAATAATCAAGTGTAATGAAATGCATAAATATAGCATATAGATTGTATAGTTTAGATAACTTAAACATTCTGCGTACTAATAATATATTTATATATACCTACTAGGGTGTGTCATTTTGGAACAACTTTTTTTTTTATTTTACAAATAGCATATATACTTGCAGGAAGATAAAATAAGATACCTGTTAAAGTTTGAGCTCTTAATATTAATATTAACAGGTCGTTCATAGCGATTTTTTTATTTTCTATTTAGTAAGATAGAAAAAATTTTATAACTATCTAACAAACAGTAATACAGCATTGCCCCACAAAGATTTTTGTAGTAAATTTACCGCTCTACAAAAAAGATCTCTTATCATTTTTTCATAAATTCAATCGTTCAAAAGATATTCAAAGTTTGATAAATATAACCATTTAGACGATATTAAGGTTTAAACTTAAACTTTATATTTATGAAAAAAATATAAGAGATCTTTTTTGTAGATCGTTAAATTTTCTACAAAAATATGTATTGATTATTTTATAATTTTTGATAGTCGATATGATACAAAATTCATAAGAAGCAAAAACAAGTTTTATAAAATTTATCAAACTTTAACTTTGAATATCTTTTGAACGGTTGAATTTATGAAAAAATAATAAGAGATTTTTTTTGTAGAGCGGTAAATTTACAACAAAAATCTATGTAAAGCAATGCTGTATTACTGTTTGTTAGATAGTTATAAAAATTTTTTCTATCTTACTTAAACTTTAACAGGTATCTTATTTTACCTTCCTGCAAATATATATGCTATTCGTGAAATAAAAAAAAAGTTGCTCTAAAATGACACCTATACAAAATAATTATTTTATTTTATTAATAAAACTTGCGAAATTTTTTTTAAACTTTCATTAAAAATAGATAATCTGTAAACTATGAAATACAGATTGATTGTCATGAAGAAACTTTATAACATCACCTATATATTTTTTCGCTAAAATGTACATAATGCTGAATCGTTTGCACGTTGCCCATATGGCGATGAATATCAATGCGAATCTTCCAACATTACGAGAATAACGTTATAGATCGATCAATCATTCCAAAACCAAAAGATTTTTGCGGTGGAGGGATTTTTTATACCTTTCTTCACTTCTCGGGTTCGTATTTTTCAGGGCCTGGTTGCAGTGCATTAAAACTTATTCTTATAACGCATAGACTCGGGACCCTTTGTCGGGCCCTTCCATTAAAATATTATTTTGTACGGAATGATCGTGCACATATCCGTCGACTGCGAAAAACGTAAGTCACATTTAGGGTTGTGACATTAAATGATGAATGGATTCATTTTACAATCGCCAGAAGAAAAGTTACCTTTTTTACACCCCAGAGTCCACAAAATTCTTAGGTTACAATAAATTTCTTTATTGCTCTTTAAAATCCATATATACCTTTTTTTGGAAGGTTTCGAATTTAACTTAATGAAAAGACCTGCTTTTGATAGTTGCACATTTGGAATGTCAATTAATTAAAGCTTGCTGGGATATAACAATCACCAAAATTATCCAAAAAACTGCGTTCGAAAACTTTATGCGGATGCACACCACGCTGTTCTATCTTTGTTACTTACACCGAGAAAAAATCCAAAAAAATATTTATTAGGTGACTCCTAATAGCATATTTACTTATTTTTTACACATATTTATTTAGAATTAGATATTTTTATTTCAATTAAATAAAAATATCTAATTCTAAATAAATATGTGTAAAAAGTAAGTAAATAATGCTATTAGGAGCTACTTA